CTCTGGCAGCAGCATTTTGGATCAGCTGAAGACGTTTTAAAGAAGTATTTGGACATCCAGATAATAAACCATTGCAATAGTCCAGTCTAGAAGTGACAAATGCATGGACCAGTTTTTCTGCATCATTTTTAGATCAGATGTTTCTAATGTTAGTGATATTACACAGGTGGAAGAAGGTGGTTCTAGTAACGTTTTTAACGTGGGGGATAAAAGACATGTCCTGATCAAAAATAACACCAAGATTTTTAACATTAGAGCTGGAGGACAGATTAATGCCATCTAAGGCATTAGGCATTTGAGGCTGAATTAAGTCCAGCTTGAGTTCAGCACTGACAGCTGCTCTGAATGCTCCTCAGCCACCTGCATGAGGGGAGGGGGGCTGCTCCCCAGTCGCAGTCTCCCTTTGCCGTGCCACAAGGTTATGCAGGTGCAGACGCTCTCCACCACACAGCGATAACTCCTCAGGACAGAGCCCCCCCAGCTCCCAAGTCCAGCTCTCCACAGCTTTCTTCTTTCAGGAACACGGTCTTCTCCCCGTGTTTATCCCAACCGATTGTCATGATCCACTCAGAATAACTGAATACTGTTGATCTGGAAGGCTGGGTCCAGCATGTTCTTGTTAAGCCAGGTTTCCGTTAGGCAATGAACAGCACAGTTCTTCATCTCTGTAGAAAAACTCATCCTCAGATGTAACAAGTCCACTTTGTTATTCAGTGAGTGGACACTGGCCAAGAATAGAGTAGGAATCAGTGGTGTTTCTAGCCTTTAGCTGGGCCATCACGCCCCACATTTCACCCTCCTCCTCCTGACCATTGCTCCTCGCCCTCACTGTGCCATACTGCTGTGCCATTCTGCTGTCCTCAGGCGCCGCTGTATGCCAAGTGCGGATTTCAGAACTCCACTGAACTGTCTCAGCTATCTTCATTTTTTTTTTTTTTTTTTTTTTTTTTAATTGATTTTTTATCTTATAAAACAAGCAAATGATAATAGTACAATTAACATTATTTTCCAATAAACAACATAATCCCCAAAGTAAACAAATATAAAAAAAAATAAATAAATAAATAAAAAAAATAATAAAAAAAAAATAAAAGAATTTAAGGGAATAAAAAAAAAAAAAAAAATCCACACTTGTCAAATAAAAAAATAAAAATAAAAAAAATAACAGCATATATCTATATAATAAAATAAGATAAGATAAAGCTCAGCTCCAAGCATCCTTTTCTGAATTATTTTCCCTTGTAATGTCTCAGAAATTCAGTTAACGGTGACCATATTTCTTCAAAGTCTAATCCTTTACCTCTGACGATATAAGTAAGTCGTTCCAATACAATACAAAATGCCATCTCCTTCACCCACACATGATTTGAGGGTACATCCATTTTCTTCCAGTACAAAGATATTAACCTCCTGGCCTGCAGGAGTCCAAAGTCAATCAATTTTAACTGTCTGGAAGTAAAAACACAATCCTCTGGGTATATACCTAACACACACATTTTTACATCAACAGGTATATTTACTCCAACAATCTTAGACAAAGTTTGTATAACTGATTCCCAGTAGTGCTGTATCTTTGGACAGCTCCATACACAATGCAGCAGAGTACCCTTTTCATCTAAACATTTAGTACAGCTGTCTGGAATGTCAGGGGACCAGCGATTCAGCCTGACTGGGGTTATGTAGGTTCTCATCAACCATTTGTATTGAAGGAGTTTCATCCTTGTGTTAATTGATTGTTTTTGAGCTTTTAAACATGCAGCTTCCCAGTCTGCTTCCTCTATCTCATCTTGGATGTCCGATTTCCATGCATCCAATTTATCGGTGGTAGACTCCTTATCATGTGTTAGTAGAGCTGTATAAAATAAAGAAATATGACCTCTCCTCTCCAAATTTTGCAGTATAATATTCTCCAAGTATGATAATGGTGGTTCAGAGACAATCTGTTTATATTTTGACTTAATGAAATGTTTAACTTGTAAGTATTTAAAAAAATGTTTCTTTGGAATGTTGTATATTTGGCATAACTGATCAAATGTGAGAAGGGTACCATCTTTATAAAGGTCTGCCACCTTCTGTACTCCTTTATCTGCCCAGATTTTAAAACCCCCATCCGCTCTTCCTGCCTTAAAACAAGAGTTGCCCCAAAGAGGTGAAAAACGAGAGATGGGAGAATTATCTCCCACATATTGATGGGTCTTGTACCAGATACTTATTGTGTTTTTTAAAAAAGGGTTATTGGTCATTTTTCCCAGATTTTTTGGGCTTGCAGAATATAAATACAGATTTAATTTAAGATTTGTTACTGATGTTTGTTCAATTTTTACCCAGGCTGGAGGTGTTCCAGAAGAAAAGTAGAACATGGCTGAACGCAACTGTGCAGACCAGTAATACAATTTAAAATTAGGGAGTTGTAACCCCCCTCTTTCATATGGCAGGTACAGCAGGCGAAGTCTTAATCTAGGTTTTTTGTTATTCCAAATGAATCTGTTAAATATACTATTTAACTCTTCAAAGAATAATTTGGGAAGAGGTAAAGGAAGTGATTGAAACAGATATAAAAATTTTGGTAATATGTTCATTTTGATCATGTTTATACGGCCAATCATTGATATGGGCATTATCATCCATTTATTTAGAGACTCCTTCACGTCATTAATCAGAGGGTCATAATTTGTTGATACAATGGTTTTGACGTCTGGAGTGATTTTAACTCCAAGATACACAAATCCCTCCCTTGCATTAATAAACGGGGTTTGTATAGTTGGATTCATTCTTTCATCCTTGTTCAGAAGTAACATGGAGGATTTTGAGTCATTTATATTATAGCCGGAGAATCGTCCAAATAGCTCCATTTGTTGCATTAAATTTGGTATGCTAATGCTCAGCTTTGTCATAAAAACAATCAGGTCATCAGCATACAGGGCCAACCTATGCTCTTGATCTCCTACCTGGATACCGAATAGGTCTGTTCGTGTTCTGATCATCACGGCCAGGGGTTCTATAGCCAGGATAAATAACATTGGAGATAAGGGACATCCCTGGCGTGTAGAACGTTCCAATGTGATAGGTTTAGAGACCATATTGTTTGTTAAGACACTGGCTTTAGGATCTGTATACAAAAGTTTGACCCATTTCAAAAAGTTTTTTCCAAATCCATATCTCGGGAGGACGTTAAATAAATATGACCACTCTATTCTGTCAAAGGCCTGACGAGCATCAAGTGATAATAAAGCTGTATCCTTAGCATTAAATTTCTCATGAATTATATTTAGAACTCTTCTTATATTATGGAACCCCTGGCGTTTTGGTACAAAGCCATTTTGATCATTATGAACCAGAAGTGATATATAGGGGTCTAATCTTCTTGCTAAAACTTTACACAGTATTTTAGTATCAACCCCCATCAGACTTATCGGTCTGAATGATGAGCACTCTTCAGGAGGTTTACCAGGTTTCAATATCAAAATAATCATTGCCTGTCTCAGAGTGGGCGGGAGAGACTCGTTTTGAAATGCTTCTTCATACATGTTAAAAAGCGGAATTATTAATTTTTCTTGGAAGGTTTTGTAAAATTCAATCGGGAAGCCATCTGGCCCGGGTGCCTTACCACTGTTGATGCTTTTGATGGCCTGTGATATCTCTTCAATAGTTAGATTTCTGTCTAATTCCTGCTTTGTGTCCTCTGTTAATGTTTGAAAATGAAGTTGGTCTAAAAGTATGTCTCGTTCTTCTGATGTCTGTAAGCATTCTGATTTATACAAATTTTCATAAAATTCTTTAAAACTATCATTAATTTCAGATGGATCTACTGTTACATTTCCTGAAGAGGTCTTAATACTATTAATTGCTCTTTCACTTTGCATTTTCTTAATTCTCCATGCCAAGAGTTTTCCTGCTTTCTCGCCTTGGTCATAATAAGACTGTTTTAGCCACATTAAACTTTTTGCTGCTGCATCAGAAGATAATTTATTATACTCAGTTCTCAAACGTAACAATTCACCTTGCTTTATTGCATCCTCACTAATGTTTAATTCTAACTCTAAAGATTTGATCTGTTCATCCAGAGTTTCCATTCGTTTTCTTTGTTGTTTATTCTTTGTACTTGTAAAGCCAATAATCTCTCCTCTAATATATGCTTTGAATCCCTCCCATCTCACCGAGGCACAGGTTTGATCTGTGTTTAACTCAAAGTAATTATCTATTTTCTTCCCTATAAATTTAATAAAATCTGAATTCTGTAGCCATCTTGCTTGAAACCTCCAGTTTGGGGGGTTATGGGTAAATTTTTCTATGTGAATATTCAGTGAGATTGCTGCATGAGCTATCTTCATTTTTAGTATTAATTTACCCATTCCATCAATACAATTTTATTTCATTATCTATTATAGATTTTTTAAAGATTCTTTTTAAAATGTACATGATCAGCAATTAATGTAATTACAGGAGGCAGCATGTTCCAATAAGAAATTTCTCAATACACAGCTGTTCTTTTGAGAGCATTAGTCCTAGGCAGAGGTAATATAAATGTAACAACAGAAGCTCATCTAGTATTAAAAACATGTTTATTGCAGGTGGTAACAACTGTGAGAAAAGTCTAAATGGTTTATGTTAAGTCCAGATTTTGTGTAAAAAGAGAAGGCTGCATGCTAGTCTCAGACTTTCATCCATGACAGGCATCGATGCATTAAATTGTCATTTGTTCTTAAATTACATCCGAGTGCTAGTCTTGCAGCTTTATTTTGAACTACCTGCAGTTTATCTAATGTTTTTTGAAGCACTTGTCCAAACAAGTGCTTCAAAAACAACTGAATAATATTGACGTTGACAAAGAACTAAAGACTTTAGTACCAATTTTCTTATTTCCAGAGACATAAAATGTGCATTATGCCAGATTATAGCAATGTAAATTGTTGGTAAGATTAAAGTGATTGTCTGCGCATGTATGACTATATTCTGGTTTTTCTGGAAAAGTTAATTTCCTGACTTGTCTGTTCTTTCAGGTGTGGGTGAGGAGACTGTGGAGGAAATGGTGACTGTCAGTAAGATTTCTATTGAGCCTACAGGAGCTCAGCCTTCCCAGGATCCCACCAAAGACTCCACTCAGAGGATGGATGCAGCCACAGTGAGTGGACAAGCCGGGGACAACTTGCCCATGAAGCCTTTTAGAACAGAGGTAAGATGAGAGCTAGTCAGACATTTTGTTGTTCAAAATGTTTCACTTGATGGTCGATTTTAAGTTTCGTTTTAGTTTGTTTAAGATGTAGTTTTAATTTTTCAGTTAAACCAAGCATCTTCCCTAACTTTGGATGAAGACAATTGCATGAACTAGTTTTTCTGCATCATTTTTAGATGACGTTTCTAATTTTAGCAATATTACGCAGGTGAAAGAAGGCGCTTCAAGTAACTTTTTTTTATTCAACCTTTATTTTTTTACTTTATTTTTCTCGCCAAAGCATTTTACATTATAAAGCAACAAAATAGTAAAAGAATAAAAATTAAATAAATAAATAAATAAAATAATAATTATAATAATAATGGGGTGGGGTGGGGGTATATTCACATCAGGTAAAACATTTTGGGGTTAAACAAGAGATCTTTAAAAGCAAGAACACCAATGTTGACCATTAAAAAAAAGACAGTTTCAAAGTAATGATAGGTTGTCACCTCTTAACATAAAGTGTGCGTCCCATTTTTCCTAGAAAGCCTTCCCTTTTTCTTCTTGTAATCTTAATTTAAATGTTAAATGCTTCATACTCTGAATATTATTAACAATGTCCATCCACTGTTTGATAGTAGGGGGATCCACACCAAGCCATTGCTTAGTTATAGCTTTCTTGCTTGTAGTCATCGTGATTTTTAGGATATATCTATCAGCTTTTGGTATATTTGGGCCCATACTCCGCAGATAAAAAAAATAATCAAGTAAATATGATATCATAACCCAAAACCTCTCTTGACAGTCTGGTGAACACCTTCCCAGGATGGCTTAAGGACAGGACCCCCCCCCCCCCCCCAAAAAAAAATAAAAAATGGTAGTGGTCAGCAGGGCAATGACCACATCCCCGCCAACACACAGGAGGAAGACCAGTCTGTTTACATACCTGTTTTGGGATTCGAAAATATCTTATACAATTTTTCCAAGAGAAATCTCTCCATGTTTGTGAATTTGTAGTGGTGTGTTACATTTCAATTATCGTTTCCCATTCCTCAGATGTAATGCTAATCTCCAGCTCTTTCTTCCATTTCTCTTTAACATAATGTGTGGAATTACCCTTTAATTTAATTAGACTCCAGTAAAGTTCTCAACTTATTTTCTTAAGTCCTTTTGATTTATAAACCTTAATAAACATTTTGGTAATAGGTGATATATTCTCTAAAGTAAGTTTTTTTTTTATATTTTCCACATGAAAATGGTGGAGCTGAAGGTATTTATAAAAGTCCTGTCAACCTAAGCCATATCTTTCTGACATAATTGCAAAATCAATAAGTTCCACATTATCTAATAGAAGACACAATGTAGTAATTCCCTGCCTTTCCCATTCCACATAACTCCTATCGATTTGAGCTGGTTCATAGTCATGTACTGGCCACATTAGCACGCAAATTTCTTTTTGAAGATTAAATTGTTTGAACAGGTCTAACCAAATATTTAATGAAAATTCTACCCATTGGTTCTGAAAGTTACCTTGTTTAATGGCCCCTGGATTATTTAGTAAACTCTGTAAAGGTATTTTTACTCGTGACAACTCTTTGGACTTCCATTTAGTTACATAATCAAAATTACACCAGAGGATAAGTGGTTTCACCTGTGCTGATATATAGTAGTCTTTCAGCCATGGTAAGCCTATCCCTCCTCCAGACTTAGGCAACTGTAAGATTTTATATCTTATCCTTGGCTCTATACCATTTCAAACAAAGCGAGAAATGACCTTGTCCCATTCTCTAAATTGACTCAAGGGATTTGAATAGGCAATGATTGGAAGAGGTAGAGTACTCTAGGCAGGATGTTTGTTTTTATAACCATAATTCTATTGCAGAAATCAAGAGGTAAAGAAGCCCTTCTAACCAAATCCTCTTTTATACGTACATTAATGAGTTCATAATTTTTTTCATATTGCGCTAATAAATCTTTTGTAAGTACTACCCATAAGTATTTGATACAGTTAGAGCCCCAATTAAATTTAAATTTGGTTTTAAGTTTGGCTGTTGTATTGAAATTATATACCGGGGCTTGTATCCTGATGCATGCTCAATAATCCAGTTAAAAAAATATATAAAAAAGTTAAATCTGGTCCTCTGGACATTCAAAAAACAAAACAAAGCAAAACAAAACAAAAAAAAAAAAATGCAGAAACGTTTCAGCTTCCATCCGAAAGACTTCCTCAGTCTGAGGTGCTGTATTCAGCTCAGTCTTATAAATAGCACCTTCTCACTTCCTGGATCTCTTTTCAGAGGTTCATAAGTGGTTAAGTCACTAAGGAGTGTCATAACTTTCTCATGATAGTCTTTCTGGTTCAAAATCACTGTGCACCTTCCTTTGTCTGCTGGGAGAATGATGATGTTTTTGTCCTTGCTAAGAGTGGTGAGTGCATCCCCTCACTCTTTTCAGAGGTTCACAAGTGGTTACAAGAAGAAGTTAATAGATTGCCTGAAAAATTTGGAGCAGGACAAGGCTATTGACCATTTTCTGTACCACAGACTGTACCCAGGGGAGGCCACACCTAGTCTGTATGGTTTACCTAAAATCCACAAACAAGGTGTACCTTTAAGACCTATTGTTAGTATGATTAACTCTGTCACTTACAATGTTTCCAAATATCTGGCATCTGTACTCATCCCTTTAGTTGGCAGCTCAGAACACCACATACATAACACCATGGACTTTGTGGATAAGGTGAGGGATGTCATCATGGAGACTGATGAAACAATGGTCTCTTTTGATGTCACATCACTCTTTACGTGCATTCCTGTTGATGATGCAGTAGAGGTGGTCTGTTTAAGATTAAAATCAGACACCACTCTGAGCAGCAGGACCACGCTTTCCACAGAACAACTGTGTCAACTCTTGAAACTGTGCTTGCAGTCAACCTACTTCACATATGGGGAGCAATATTATAGGCAGAAACATGGGTGTGCTATGGGGTCTCCAGTTTCTCCTATTGTTGCCAACCTGTACATGGAGGAGGTAAAAAAGAGAGCCTTGACGTCCTTTTCAGGGACACCACCAAGTCATTGGTTCAGGTATGTTGACGACACCTGGGTTAAAATTAAATCTCAGGAAGTCCAACATTTTACTGACCACATCAACTCTGTGGATAAATACATCAAGTTCACACGAGAAGATGTAAAAAATGGCAAGTTGGCTTTCTTGGACTGTGAGGTCTCAGTCTCTGATAGAGGACTTTTGCAAACCGAGGTGTACCGCAAACCCACCCACACAGACCAGTATTTGCAGTTTGACTCCCATCACCCTTTGGAGCACAAGTTAGGAGTCATCAGGACTCTGTATCACAGAGCAGACAGCATCCCCACTAGCTCGGGAGCCAGGCAGAAGGAGAAATCCTACACAAAACAGGCTCTAGAGCAATGTGGATATCCTAACTGGGCCTTCCTGAAAGCAGAGAAGAAACCCAAACAGGACTCCAGTCAGCCATCAGGTTAAAAGGAGGAACCCAGACCAGTGGTCATTCCGTATGTTGAGGGGGTATCAGAGAAACTGAGACGTTTATTTTCTAAACATAACGTTCCAGTGGCTTTTAAACCCCAAAATACATTACGGCAAAGACTGGTTCATCCCAAAGATCCAGTCCCCCGGCACAAACAGAGTAATGTTGTGTATGCTGTTCAGTGTCAGGAGGGCTGTGATCAGTCTTACATCGGGGAAACTAAACGGCCACTGGCCAAAAGGATGGCCCAGCACAGAAGATCAACATCATCAGGCCAGGATTCTGCGGTCTACACTCATCTCCAGGCCAGCGGTCACTCTTTCAAGGATGAAGATGTTCACATCCTGGACAGAGAGGAACGATGGTTTGAGAGAGGAGTAAAGGAAGCCATCTTTGTGAAAAGAAACCGTCCATCATTAAACAGGGGTGGAGGCCTCCGGGTTCAACTGTCCCCCTCTTACAATGCTGTGATTGCTAGTATCACTCAGCCCTCTGTGAGTAGTAAACAGCCATCAGTGTGCTAATGACCCATTGTTAGGCTGATGGTCCTTCTTGAGCATGTGATCAGCTGGTTTTGGTTGTCAGCAGCAAACTGGTTGATCCACTCTGAGACGGTGCTATTTAAGAGACTGAGCTGAAAACAGCACCTCAGACTGAGGAAGTCTCTTGGATGAGAGACGAAACGTTTCTAGATTTTTTTTTTTGCTTTGTTTGCTTTTGTTTTTTTTGAATGTCCAGAGGACCAGATTGAACTTTTTTTGATTTTTCTACCTGGATTATTGAGCATGCATCAGGATATTTAGGTTCATATTTACTGGGCTATGATCAGAGATGGTCATTGTCTCAATTGTGCTATCTTTAAGTCAAAATATGTCTTTCTTTAATATAAGAAAATAGTCCAGTCTTGAGTAACTTCCGTGTACATGGGACATAAATGTGTAATCTCTTTCCCTCGGGTGAAGGTGGCACCAGACGTCTATTAACCCCAGTTCTTTCATCATATTTAATAAACTTTTGGACATTCTGGATTGTGGTTTGGTGGTTACGGGTAGTTTATCCAATTTATTATTAATTGTGTGAATGCCATCAAGGCATTGATCCACATCAGGTCCCCTGCAAGACTAAATGGTCAAATCATGACATCACTTAAGCCACGCCCCCTAACAACAGGAAGTGCAAAGTTTTACATTTAACATCCCAAGCTGACCCCTGTGATCTAATCAGCATGACAGTGTGTCCAGTGACCGAAGACATGTTGGGGTAACTTGCTTTCTAACACTGACAGTTTTGGGTGCAGCATGTGGGCGGCGTGGCGAAGTAAAACGTAACGCCGTCGCAATACGTTTTGCTCTAAAATCCAAAGACTTGAGCTGAGGTGCCTCAAAATCAGTATGATCGATCATTCATCATCCACCCCTTGAACAGGAATCCATGATAAGTGGCCAATAGCCTCTATAGCGCCCCCTACGTTATACTTACATTTATATCTCCATCATACATCATACGA